TAATTTAATTTTAATATTAAAATTAAATACAGGCAATAACCTCAGCAAATTTAATTGCACTGTGAGATTACCAAAATATCATTTCGTCATGAAAGACGAAAATACCCTTCTTACAAATTGATTCTTAAATTATCTTCTAAGTGTGTGATCCGTAGTCTTCTCATCATGTCGGCAGTGTGTAGTATCGTGATTAACACCAATTAATCGTCTCACTACACACAAACCAAGATTGACCCCTAGCAAGGTATCATGGCCACCCGATAGATTCGGATTCAGCGAAACCGCAGCCTATCAACGGTATGGTTACCGTGCAATCCAATCCTATAATTTCATCATCTGTTATCTCATTGAGACTGAGGTACAGAAATAGTGCTAACCTCAGATATCCTCGACATGTTTGTATTCAGTTAATGGACCCATGACCGGAATAATAAATTGGATTGAGCATCAACTCAATCCCATTGTGGTCACAGATTTAGTGTCGTTGCCATTTACTGAATTACCCAGTGAGATAACTTCTTCTGTACCCAGGAGTGATGAATCATTTGTCGATTCACCATAGTCTTGATACACTTCTCAATGTAGCCAATCACTACCGTATTGATAGCTCTGAATAGAACTACGTTGGGCTAGTGTCAAACTACACCATTTGGTGCACAAGACGCTCCGGTGATCTCAAGTCTAAGGATCATATGCACAACTATTTGTTAGAGGATTTATTCCATAGACACTAGGATTACCATCCATATGGAATCCTCTGGTGGGTCTGTCCAGTGAACTTGCCTCTAGCAAGCATCCATGCATTGCCCCAGGTTGTTGGCAAACAATCTTGACAAGTGAGATCAGTCATTGCCTTTCAACAAGGTCGTGCAACGCTATGATAGTCTTACCGTATTATCTGTGTCCTTGGTCAAAATAATACTGGGGCTATGGACATTTCTAGAATGACCACTATATGTGATCATTGGGTTCTCACTATCAAGATTTGAAACACTTGATACCCTCGTCACGGTTCTACCACCCTAAGGACATATATCATTACATATAACTATGATTTACACGATATAGAAGAATATGCCTTTTATTGATAAATAAACATTTATTACAGAGTCAATCTTACAATAATTGATTGGCTTTAGGGTATCTACTCTAACAGTAATTAATATATGTCCACATCACACATGACCTTTGGAATACTAATGTAGTAATTAATATATGTCCACATCACACATCCTACATGGAATCCCACGTGTATCCTGCTAGAATCCTACGTATAATCCAAATGGCGATCAATAGCAAGGGTGGTTTTCAGGATTATATAGATATATAGAAAATAAGATCAAACTAATTTTATTACTATGAAGAGGTTATAACTTAATAGAGTTGTACTTACAAAAATTATTGTTTTGACTTAGTTATCCTTAGTGCAAATGGTATAAAGGTAACGTATGCAAGAATCGAATGGATATAAATGTCTTCCTCGATCATCAAAATAAGCTACAAGTCGTGTATGTTTTAATTGAAGAAAAAATCATTGTTGTAATTAGACAAAAAGATGAAGGAGATAATCCTAAGGATGATAGTACGAAAATACAAAAAAATTCATACTAAGAAGCTCCAAACATGCTTGAGAACCTAGATATATTAAAACTTTAACAAGAAGATGTCCATTTTGGTGAGTTATTACGTACCTGTAAGTTAAAAAATGTGGCAACAACTTTAAAGCATAAATCATTGTCCCAAACAACTTTAGATAAATATTTTGTTTCATCTTAAACCTTTAATGTAACTAGGGGTGAGTATGGGTAGAGGGTAGAACCAGAACCGGCAGGAAACCACTCGTTGGTTCTAGTTCTGAAAAGTTGAAATCGGGAATTCCTGGGTTTGGTTTTGGTTCTTATAGTGCTGGAATTGAGAACCGAAATTGGAACCGAGGTAAGGGTACACGGGAGGAATCGGGGTTGAATTATAATTTTTGTAAACTATTGCAGTGTATTGTAATTATTTGGGAGTGTATTTGCCTTTTTTTTAAAAGTAAGGAGCAATTTAAATTAACCTAGGTACCCGAAACAAGAACTGGAACTGGAACCTATGTTTTAGGTTTCGACTCCGATTCCTCAAAAAATGTAGGATACCCAGAACCGATCACCCTTAAATGTAATATAGTATATTTTTTTGCAATATACAATAACTATTATTATGTGGAGGCAAATTTCTTAAGACAGGACCTAGAAAAATTACAACGTGAAAATTATTTTTATTTATAATTGGCCTAAATTGGGAAAATAATATTAATTTAATGGTTTTTGTATATAATTTTTTATCAAAAGATTGTTGCTACAACATTATTTGTGAGGCGCAATGTGACAATGAACTTTTTTTAAAAAAAAAATCAGCTACCTTTTTCTTTTTAGGCTGCTACTTGATCACCAAGGATCTAACTTCTCAAGAATTTTCCTTAGAGTGATTCTCGTAGCACCTCACCATCAAACTAAATACACCCTAATTTTTAATATTTTTTATAATCACAAGATTATCCTTATAATAAATTGCCAAATTTTATATAAATTTTTTTTTAACTATCTATACTTTTACACCCCATATATATATATAAAGATTTCATATAAGGTTTTTTTTTTTTCTTTTTTAATAAAGAGAATCCATTTTTGATACTTAAATTCCTAACATATAGAGTGGTGTTAGGATTTGGTTAGATCATTTACCTAAGTCAATGATAAATATTTTTACTTACGTTCTTTTGCCTTTCTGCACTTAGAAGAAATTTGTTACCACAGTACTAGTATTTATACATGTGCATTTGCTAATCAATAAAAGATTTAAATAAAAAGATATAGGAAAAGAGCACATTTATATATTGGTCTTTTTGCCATGATAAAGGAGGTCATGTTCTTGGAACTTGATCTAATGGACATGTTACATCTTACTTAAGTTTATTAATAAAAGCTTTACAAGACAATTTAAACACGTTCAACATTACTTCATAGTTTACCATGTATATGTAATTGTATTTACTTCAGTTTTTATTAATTAATTTCAATTTTTTTTTTAATAGTGAAAATTGAAGGATAAATGAGGTAAGATAAGTAGATGTTCCACCCGTCATGGACCGAACCAAATATAATCTTACGCATTAGTGTTGCTATGAGGCATGAGCACCCTAATTTCCAAAAAAAAAATTTAAATTTATATAGAAAAGGCCGAATATAATTGTCCCTCCCTAGGTTTGGCAAATCAACATTTTCCTACCCATGGCCATAATTTCGGAAACTATCAACGTTCCACCCATTGTTAGTCTCAGTTCATATGAATCCTCCTTTAATCAGCTTTGACTGTTTAAATACCATATTTACCCTTTTAAATTTGTACTTTAAGAAATTGATATATTATTTATAACCCCAAATTAATAAGATTACCAAAATAACCACATATATTTCAATTTTCAATCATCTACACATTCTTCACCTCTTCAATTTTCACACTAGAGTATACAAAATAAAAAATTTACATCATCAACCATCTCTAAATACATCAAATCAAAATTTCATCTCACCCTGTCTCTAAAATCATCACAATGATAACAAAAATAAAATAAAAATCCCAAAACTAAGAAAACCTAAAATAAAAAAACTTAAAAATTAAATAAAATTTAAGTCATTGTTGATTTTATTTGTTTTGAATTGTGTTGAAAGAATTTGTGGGTAATGGGAAAATTGTTTGTTATGACTTACAAGAGTGAATTGTATAGAGTGGAGTATGAGGATGGTGATGGTGAGGATTTGGATAGTAGTGAGCTATGTCAATTACTTTTAGGTGAAAAATATTTGATGATGGACTAAGTAGAAGAAGGGTGAAACTAGATGATTGGGCCTTGTCAAGAACAAGAAGAAGCAAGATGATTTGGAGAAGAAAGATAGGGATTTAAAAAGTGAGGTGGACAAGGTACAAGTGTCTATGTTGATTGACGAGGAGACTTAGATTTGTCAAGTGATACGTGTCAGCATGTGCGTGACATTGGGTTAGATGAAAAGACAATAATGACCTTTCACTGTTAAGTTTAACTATTAAATTTGAAAATTGAGTGGAACATTGATAGTTTTTAAAATCATGGGTATAAAATGTCTATTCGTGAAACCTAAGGTACGAAAATGTATTTCGGCCTATAGAAAATTACATTTAATCCCTAAGAATTCAATTCTTGTTTTGCCACCTTACTTTCTCAACTAAAATCTTTTGCCTGTAGATGTAACTTTGTCAAAGGGGTGGAACAGATTTCATTAAAACATTTCGGCGGCCACATAAGCTTCATAACACAATAAATAAAGGTAGGTCTTAAAAAAAATATCCTTTTTCTTAATTCTATATCTCATTATCTAATATTTATTTATTTACAGTTTAATGACATTAACATGGAAGGTTCCATCATAATTGGAAAAAATGACATTAAGCTAACACCAAAACCCATAAGAATCAGACTGCTGTACTTTGTTCTGTTTCAATTGGCTGGGCCCCTTGAAAATAAAAATATTGAATTGAAATGCAAACAGGTGGCACACATCTTCCAATCAGATTGCCGGTTGGTGCGTTTTAGGTTAACAAAAAGAATCTAAAATAAAAATTATTTTATTTTATTTTTTAATTACGTATTCTATAATCGAAATAATTTTTCTCAGCCCGACAGAACTATTTTTTTCACATACTGATTTATATTATGTTTTCAAAACCAAAATCATTTTAAATGTTTAAAATATTTTATGATACACCAAACTATATATTTCGTAATGTTTGTAGTTCATACGTATATAATTATTCATTCGTTTATGATATCAGTGATGCAACAAATTAACGACATAACAACCTATTTTAAAATCATTTTAGGTAAAATTAATGCTAAATCTGAAGATGATTAAAGATCACTAACTGTTTCTCAAGATAAAATTATAAATTGTATATAACAAATTCACTTCTCTTTTTTATTTTCATTTTTTCTCTCTAATTCACCTCAAAAATATTATTTCTTTATTATTATTCTTTCTTCTTTTAACAATTTATATCCCCACTTCCTTCTTGAATCCTCTAGTTCATTCCACTCTGATCACAACAATGGCCAAGTGTTTCAGCTTCACTGAATCCCGAAACTGGTGCTACCGGTACTCTTTCAGTCACTCAGGTCTCAAATCATCTACCGTCGATCTCGGCGACGGCACGATCATGCACTGTTGGGTCCCCAAAACTCACAAACCAACCAAACTAACGCTCTGTCTCCTTCACGGTATTGGCGCCAACGCAATGTGGCAATGGGCTCACTTCATTTCTAAATTGGTATCCAAGTTCAACGTCTACGTTCCCGACCTCTTGTTCTTCGGTGACTCTTACACCACGCGCAGCGAGAGGTCTGAGGCTTTTCAGGCCACGTGTGTGATGGGTGTGCTGGAGGCTCACGGCGTGGAGAGACTGTCGGTTGTGGGGATCAGTTATGGTGGTTTTGTGGGTTACAGTTTGGCTGCGCAGTTTAAGGAGAAGGTTGAGAGGGTGGTGCTAATAGGCGCGGGTGTTTGTTTGGAGGAGAAAGATATGGAGCAAGGGTTGTTTAAGGTTAAGAATATTGATGAAGCTGCTGAGATTTTGTTACCTCAAAGACCGGAGAAAATGAAGGAGCTGTTGAGATTGACTTTTTACAAGCCGCCTAAGAATGCTCCTTCTTGTTTTTTCAATGATTTTATTGAGGTCAGTTTTATTATCTTTCAAACTTGGTTCATGATTTTTAGTATTAAGATTTTGTTTCTGATAAATCAAATTATTTTATGTGTTCTGTTTTAGTGTTAAAGTTTTGGGATTGGGCTTGATTTCAAGGTGTTTTATGAAAACCAGAACACATGAAGGTTAATACTTCTATTTCATTTTCTTTATCTGGGTTTTCGAAAATTTAACTTTGGATCGTGATCAGATGAAAAGGGTTTATTGATTAGGGAGTTTCGTTGAATTTATGCTAGCGTTATGAAGTAATTAGCAGTGGAGTAAGGCATAAAGGACATTAAAGCAAAACTACTCTGATACAATTTAGGCTATCTATCGATGGAAACTGTCCTCAAACAGTGAGCATAAACATAGTTATTTGAGAATATATTGAATTTATCTCACGGATTTTGGAATTAATTAATAGGAGAGATTGAAACCAATTACTCTGCTTCTCTATTTCCAGATGATTTCGTATTAATCTTGCTATCAACTGTCGAAATATTCACTATAACGGAAATTTTTGGTTTGGTATGGTGCAGGTAATGTGCACACAACACATTCAGGAGAGGAAAGAATTGCTCCAGGCATTACTTAAGGGCAGAAAATTATCTGATCTTCCTAAGATAACTCAGGTTATTGTGCATTACATTCTGGGTAACTTTTGGAATCCAGTAATTTGAACACTACTTTCATCTTCTAAAGGTATTTATTTTAATCTCTTCATGTTGCAGCCTACACTTATCATATGGGGAGATCATGACCAGGTGTTTCCGCCCGAATTGGGACACAGATTGAAAAGGTTAATATAAAAGATTTAATATGTTTATGTTTCTTTTGAGCATGAACCTTGTGAATTACAATGGTTATGTTTCCACTTGTGCAGCCATTTGGGTGAGAATGCGGAACTAAAAATGTTGAAGAATACAGGGCATGCAGTTAATGTAGAGAAACCCAAAGAAATGTACAGGCACTTGAAAGCTTTTCTTATCGATCAGCAAATAAATCATACCAATTGACGCAAGGCAGATTGAAAGTCATGCCAAGAAAAATGAATTACAACTGAGGAGAGATGGATATGTAGTGTGTTGTGGGTAACATTAGCATTTTGAGGCTTGTGAAATTGAAGTACTCATCATTTGTATATTTAGAAGATGTAGAGTAGTGAATTAATGGAGAAATAGTTATCCCCTCAGCAAGCTGGCTAAGTTATTCAGATTTACGGATCATTCAGTCCGTGAATTCTTAGTTAATTTACAAAATTTTCAATGTTGAAGGAATGATCATTGTGATATGAATGTAATGCAATGGTTACATTTGAACTTTTCCTATTTGAATTAATGTGTAGCAGACTCCATCCTTCTCCATCTCAAGCAACCAGGCATTGACTATTAATTATGTTCCAGTGCCTGGGAAATTATTGATTGATTGGATTGGTTGAGAGTTTCTCGAAAGAAGAAAATAGAATTCTGATTCATGGTACAACTTCTGTTTTCTTACCAACTCATTCACCATTTTCATCCTGATCTCAGGAATTTCAGGAGACAACAAAGTTACAAAAGCTCCGTGTTCTAAGGCCCTCAAAAATGAAATACTCTTAAAAAGAAGATTCACTGTGATTTGACTACTCAACACTATCCATACTTCACATAAAAATTGTAATAGTTAAAATATCTTTAGTGGATTTTTTAATATTACATATGTTTCTAATACCAAATAATCTAGTGTGTAATGAAACTAAATCCTAGAGCTTCAATTAAATTTAAGACAATTATGGTTAACTAAAGTTACTTTCTTATTATATATTTATTCAAGAATTTGCTTTGAGCAAAGGCAAAGTAGCATCTCAAAAAGCACCATTCTTCTTGCTTTAAGAGATGCTGTGAAGGAATGAGTGGTTTTGGGTCTGATGGCTTGTCCAGCCCTCATCTCAATTTTACCATTCCTTAAAAAGAGAAAAATTAAAACAAAAAACAAAAACAAAGAAATTCTGAATTTTTTCTTTTTTTTTTTGGTAAAAACACCTAATTTTTTTTTTCGAAAATTTTGATTTATAGCAAAACACCTTGTGTCAAGTGAAACAAATCTCAGACCTTCCAATTAAGTTTAGAATTATCATTGCCAATTATAGGTTAATTTACAGAAATCATAACTAATTATAGTTTATTTGTTAAATGGATCGATATTCTTCAGGCATTTGGTTTCAAAAAAGGCAAAAATCTTATTGCTTTTAGAGATGCTGCTATTCCACTGGAAATGAGAAAAGCTCAAAAATAGTTGCTTGGAATAACATTCATAATATATTTTTGCCTGTATAATATTTGGGCCTGGTAACTTGGTGCCCATTCTCCAATGGGCCTGATGGCTTGTCTAGCCCAACTGTTTTTTTTTTTTTTTGTATATTATAAAAGAAGTATTATTTATTTATTTATTTTTAAACTAGTATAACAATAACTCAAAATTTTAATTTAAGCAAATTGAAGAATTTTTTTTTTTTTTCTTCTCAACAAGGTTCTTCTGTTCAGGTTCTTACATAGCATTCGAAGCTTTTGTCTTTCTTGGTTCATATTATATAGGGATTGTTTTGAATCTATATATGCACTAAAGAAATTGATGAAATATTAGTAATAATAATAAAAATCTCCTCTACATTCATTCAAAATAAATTCTTGATTAATAATTTTGTCTTTCAGAAGTATCTTGAAATTTATCTATAATAAAATGTTGTGATAAATTTGTGTTACACTTATACTATATTCATGCAAGTAGGCATACCGAGTAACTTTAACCATAAAAAAAAAATTTCAACAATTTGGTTATATTCTTCACGACAAACTTCTTAACTACATATTCTTAAATTCCTCTCTTCAAGCATGACGTTGAAATGACAACAACTGAAGGCTAATGTTATGCTAGCTAGCAGTGTCAAATAGTAATCTTTTATATATTCATTATATATATATAGGGTTAGGATCATGAGCCCTTTTTTCACATAAATTTTTATACAATTTTTGAGCCGTTAGATTAAAGCATTTGATTATTTGAACGGTTGAGATTAAATCTAAATTATGTTATTTTTCAAGTGCATTATATGTGCAATTTATGAGTCATTAGATCAGAAGGCTTTGAGTGGTTGAGATTCAATACAACTTACATAATCAATGCACTTTGAAAATACCTAGTTAATGCATCTTGAGGGTTTAAACTGAAAGGACAGTGCCATTTGGGTCAGTTGATCGGATCAAAAACTTTTTTGGGAAGATGAATTTACGAATTTACTCTTCAGTAAACTAAATTATTTTTGGCTCCTAAACCCTGCCTTTTAGAGGAAAATCAATTCCCTTCATTGACATTATGGAAGAATGAGAGAGAAGTAATGGTTACTTCAATATTTCAAATAATAGAAGTTGGAATTAATTTATTGTAATAATTAAATTTCTTACAAAAAAAAAAAAAAAAGAAAAAAAAAAAAAAAGGTAAACTTCAGTGGCTCATTACAGTAAAAGGTGGAAAAAATGAGATAAATGAAGCTACGAGCTTTGGAGATACAAGTTTATGAATAGATGGGTGCAATGAAATTTTTGTGTTTGCTATGAACATTGAAATAAATAGAGTTAATAATCTTACGGGTGTTGGTACGATATAAAGAAGGTATAGACAATGATAAAGACTGTCTAAGCAATGTGATGATTAGCTAGGTAGAAATGTATGGATGTGGACAATGACCAAGGTTGTGCATGCTTTTTTCTTGTGTCAGAACCGTTTGCAAGTGTAATCCCTTATGAGAAGCACCCAAAGTGAAACACATTGATTTTCATCACAATTTCATAAAAGGTACACCGTTTTATCTCATTTTCACCAACAAATGAATATGCTAATTCATATTGTGATAAAATAGATGCTGGATAAAAAATGTTTTCTTTCATATTGTGATAAAATAGATGCTGGATAAAAAATGTTTTCTGTAATTGATCTAATGTTGTGTAGAAAAAATAGATAGAGCTGGATAAATTTTTTTTCTATATATTAATATGAATGTTGTGTGGATAAAAAAGAGAAAACTAGATAAAAAGTGTTTTTTGTATATTGATTAGAATAGAGAGCTGTATAAAAAATGTTTTCCATATATCAATGTTTTATGTATATTGATTTGAATGTATTCTGTATATTGATTTGAATATTGATAAAATAGAGAGAACAAGATAAAAAATGTTTTTGGTATATTACTGTTTTCTATATATTGATCAAAATGTTTTATGTATATTGATAAAATAGAGATAACTGGATAAAAAATGCTAGTTCATATTGTGATAAAATAGAGAGAGCTAGATAAAAAATGTTCATATATGACAACCTAAGAGTTTCAAAGAAGAATAAGAGAGTATTATCGTTATCCAATACTTGTTTTAGGTGTTGAGAGATTTTGTAATGGCCACTTTTTACTTTCAAAACAATTAGGATTTTGAGAAGGAAAGTTGGGGATGATGGATAGTAATTCCTTCTTTATTTGAAGAAATAATATTTTGAAATTGGTAAGAGCATCGGATTGAAACATACAGACTTCCTTAGTTTAATTAAGTTAATTTATGTTTAATTCCATTAATAGTTAAATAAGAAATAAAAATCTAGTATTGACAATCAGACACTTTAAAAAGGAAAGAAAGAAATTTAAGACCAAAATGGTGGACATGTAAACATTTAGCAACTAGAGAAGTTGTAATGAAATTGGTTTAATTTAAAGAGAAATCAAAAGTTTGTTTTGTAATGTAAGAATTAAGAACTTAGACAACTATAGAAGTTTGTTCTGTAATCTAAGCGTTCATATTTCGTTTGGTATGATTTTGTTTATTAATAAGTGCTGATTTTCGTGTTAGAAGGAAAGTATTATTCATTGTTCGATTGGGAAGGAAACTATAAAATCTAGAGAGCGAAATGCGGTATTGGAAGCAATTTTCGGCAACAATGAAGATGACAACTCAATGACCAATGACATGAACGAGGATGGAGTGACCACCTATGGCAATGAAATTGTAAATTCGAATACCAAAGCAAGTACTAATGAAACAGAAACGACTGTTGAACATGGTCCTCAGCTAGGTTTGTTTTTCCGTAGCTTGGAATCTTTCTTCAAAGCATATAAAGAGCATGCAAAATGTAAAGGCTTTGCTATTGTGAAGAAATCAACATGTAAGGGGAGGAATGATGACAGAAGATATCAGACTATTAGTTGTGACAAAGGAATGAAAGCATATTATGAGAAGTCCTTGAAGAGGACAAATTGTCCTGCTAGGTTAAACGCGGTTTTAAGATCTAATTGAAAGTGGTAGGTTACAAAAGTTCAGACAAACCACAATCATGATTTGGATACATCAATGTGTAGCCTTATGGCAAGGCATAAGAATTTGAATCCTGAAGTGAGGAGAAATCGAGAGGCTAATGATATTGCTGGGTTCAGGCCTTGCAAAAACATTAGGTTGCTTGAAGTCCAATTTGGTGGGCTAGAGAATCTAACATGGTTGTCAAAGGATCGTCACAATTTCATTGAAAAAAGAGAGGTTGAGACTTGGTAAAGGTGATGTTGAGTCAATCCACATATTATTCTTGAGGATGCAGCAAGGGGATAGAGATTTTTTTCACTTGATTGATGTTTACAGTGATTCTAGGTTTTCCAATGTCATTTGGGTTCATCCTCGTTCCAAAGTTGCTTACAAGGAGTTCAATGATGTTGTTAGCTTTGACACAACATACTTAGTGAACCAATACAAAATGCCATTCGCTACATTTGTAGGCATCAACCACCATAGATAGTCCATTCTATTAGGTTGTGCTTGATTTCACATGAGGATGTTGATACTTTTAAATGGTTGTTCACTTGTTGTCTGTTAGCAATAGGAGACATTCATCCAAAAGCCATAATTAGTGATCAATGCGAAAGTATCAAGAAAGTTGTTAGGGCCAAAAATCGTCCCCGGCCCAAATGGGAAAACGGGTCTAACAATGAGGAAAAGGTCAAGCCCAATCTCAATGCGGCCCAATCCAAAACTCACCGGATTAGGCCCATTTGATACAAAGTATAATCGGCACAAGCCGTCTGGACACAAGCCTCCTAGTCCCAGTTCACTTCCTAGATCTATGAACGAATTCAGAGCCCATGGTCAGTCACAGATCACATTCCTATCCAAACACTGGTAAAGTAGCCCACTATAACCCCAACTCCTCCAAGTCCGTGTCAGAGTCATACCTGGACTCCTCTTCACGCCGGGATAATGGGATAAGAAGATTTATCTCGAGAGGGAACATATCACTACGAGAACTCCCAATCCCACTAGGATTGGAAGACTAGACAGTCACTATTTAAATAGAGGCTAGCCTTCTCACAAGGCAGATTACACTACACCTACAGACCCGGAGTTCTAACTGGAGAACTTCACATCACAGCTGTAGTCACAGTCCCCAACTAGACTTCTGGTAACCTCTCTACTCCCTAGCCCTCACTAAATCAGCCTTTCAGCCTCGCTGACTTGAGCGTTAGAATGCCTATGGCAAACACCACCCTGGTGTTTTTCGTCGCTTCACGTTTGTTTCTCTATGTGTGCAGGTACAGTAGATCGCTAGTGGCCTTAACCTCAAAGGATTAGTCACTCCTTCCGTACAGGTAGATTTTTATGTCTATAGTTTGGCACCCACCGTGGGGCCTCTAGCAATCATTCGGTTCAACAAACCCTGCTATGTAAAGGAACTTTCCATGGCTGACAATTCTGACAACGCTAACCCCGGCTTCGAGGCCAAACTGGAAGCCCTGACTACCCTCATGCAACATAACTCAGATAAGGTGGCTGCATTGGAAGCTGAGAACACTGCCATCCGGACTGAAAACGCCTCCATTAGGGCCGAAAACCAGTATCTGAAAGAGAAGCTAAGTCAGTTTTATGACCTTGAGCTTCTGCCTTCTCAGGTACCACCCAATCGATTTCGCGCCTTGGTTCCATCTATGCAACCTCTCCAAACCCTAGAACCCAGACCCGTGGCCTCAGATAAAAGGTGGTGTCAGCTATGTTCGTCGGTGGTCGATGATTCGGTCCTAACTCACAGAGAAAAAGATTTGCCAGCCGAACCCCGTTCTGTCGAACCCTCACTGGATCAAGGTGTCCAAGCGACAGAAAGCCCACTCTAACAAGAACCATCCATCCTAGCCATCCCACCTCACCTCCAGTCAACCATCCCTACACCAAACCCATTCAGCTTGGCTCACGCTCGTGGGTCGAATGGCCACCCATATCAAACCATCCCGCTCGAGTCCATCCATCTCGACGGACCGAGCGAGTACCAAACAACCCCTCTAACTATCCATGTAGGGCGAAACACTAGATCAATTACAATGGGAGTCATCCAATCGGAGGGAATGAACGGTGATCCAAGCTACCAGGCAATACATGAAGGAATGATCCACCAAGCAACACCACGCGGACTGACCCAACAAAATTTGCCGAATGCAATGGCCGACCGAATCAAACGGGATGACCTCGTGGTACCACCCTCCCCCATGGAACAGATTCTGGCCAAAAGGCTGGCCGATGTAGAGGCAATGATGAGGCACATACCAGGGATGTTGATCCCTACCAAGAAGAGTAAGTCCCACTGTTACGTCAATTCGCCTTTTGTAGATGCGATCGCTCTAGCCGACATGCCCCACAGGTTTACCATCCCTGGCATGAAGCCCTATGACGACTCGACCGACCCAGATGATCACATAGCCTTGTACAAGCAGCGAATGTTCATTGTTTCGACACCCCAAGCGCTGAGGGAAGCCTGCATGTGTAAGAGTTTCAGTTCAAGCTTGTCAGGTCCAACACTTTAGTGGTACACAAATCTCCCAAATGGTTCCATCGACTCATTCGCACAACTCACCAACACCTTTGTAGAGCAGTTCGCCAGTAGCAAAAAACTCGAGAAACTATCGGCTGACCTATACAGAGTATACTAGAGAAAGGGGGAGCCACTAAGAGAGTATGTCGGCAGATTCAATAAGGAGAAAATTTCCATCTCTTCTTGTAACCCCGAGACAGCCATAGATGCCTTCAAGAAAGGTCTCCTCTCGCATAGAGAGTTATACAAAGAGTTGACGAAGCTTGGCTGTACCATGATGGAGGACGCCTTGGCCAGAGCAGTGATTCAGATAAGGTGGGAAGAAGATGAGATGAATCGGATAGTACACGCCAGGTATGACCCAAGGCGGAATGATAGAAGGCCAGAATTTAAGTCAATTGAACCCCATCACCAGCCCCCTCCTCGTAACCAGAACAGAGTAAGAAAACCATATGACCGCCAGCCACAATATGACTGCCAACCATAATACGACCGCCAGCCACCTAGAGCCAACAACAGATAGGTCAGACCGAGAAGATACAAAATTCCAGAATACAACCTCAATGTCAAACCAGCCCAAGTGGTGGCGATTATGAAAGGAATGAGATCTAGTGTTAAGTGGCCAGGCAAGCTCAATGCCGAAGCAAGGAGAGACACAACTAAGTGGTGTGAGTTCCACGGCGACCATGGACATGACACCCCAAACTGTATTGCCTTGCTTTTGGAGGTCACCGTATTATTGAAAAGGGGACACCTCCGAGATTTGCTGACAGATAAAGGGAAGCACACCATCAGCCAAAAAAGCACTAAAGAAACATCTCCACCCTCGCGAGAGCCTACACCAAAAGGATTCTGCTCACTCATCTCCAGGGGGTCAGAAATCAGCGGGGTCAGTTACTCATCAGCTAAATGATACGCCAAGGCCAGCAGCCACCATGAGATCCAGTCCATCCACCCGGTTTCTTGGTCACACTCCCATCAGGTAATTCAGTTTGAAGACGACCGGTCACCCTGGCTGCCCCTCATCATGATGCTTTAGTCGTCTCTCTCCAGATTGCCAACATCTTTGTCAAAAGGGTGTTCATAAACGGGGGGTCATCAGCGAACATTCTGTTCCTTGCAGCAGTGAAGGCTATGGGTTTGGAAGAAGAAAACATCAACAGAAGGCCGACCCTACTTGTTGGTTTTAGTTCTGAGTAGAAGTACACCCTCGGAGAGATCATCCTTCTTATCTATGCCAGTGGAGTATACAAACAGTCTATCTTCCTAGTGATCGACGCCCCTTCACCCTACAATGGCATCTTAGGCTGACCTTGGATCCATGACATACGAGCGGTCCCATCCAATTTCCACCAAACAATCAGGTTTCCTACCAAATGAGGAGTACGAGAAATCAAGGGCGACCCGAAAGCTTCCAAAGATTGTTACAAGAACGCCTTCAAGGGTAAGGGTAACGCTTCATAGCAATTACAGTCCCATTCAACCCTTCCGATCGAGCTAGATCAACCATCAATGGAAGAGTTGGATGAAGTACAGATACACTCGGATGATCCTGAGAGAAAGACACAGATAGGTTCCCGCCTAGGGCTCGAGACAAGAGAGAAGCTGATAGAATTCCTTAGACAGAATCAAGATTGTTTCACCTGGTCCCATGCCAACATGACAGGGATCAGTCCAGAGGCAATGGTCCACCACCTCAAAGTAGATTCGGATCACTAACTAGTGAAGCAGAGAAGAAGGAAATTCGCACCAGAGCACAACCGGATTGTCAATGAAGAGGTTGAAAAGCTATTGAGCAACGGTATGATCAGAGAGATCCACTACCCCGAATGGCTGGCAAACGTTGTGGTTGTAAAGAAAGAGAACGGAAAGTGAAGAGTCTGCATCGACTTCATGGACTTAAACAAAGTGTGCCCTAAGGATTCATTCCCGCTTCCGCATATCGACATGATGGTTGATGCGACCGCAGGCCACGTGCTCCTTAGTTTCATGGATGCTTTCTCAGGTTACAACTAAATCTTGATGCACACGGAACACTAGAAGAAGACAACCTTCATCACAGAGAGGGGAACCTATTGCTACAAAGTGATGCTGTTCGGTTTGAAGAACGCCGAGGCTACCTATTAGCGGTTAGTCAATAGGATGTTTGCCGAACACCTCGGGGACACTATGGAGGTTTACATTGACAACATGCTTGTCAAGTCCCTGATAGCCGAACAACACCTTGACCACCTCAGCCAGGCGTTCGCCATCCTAAGAAAGTATAACATGAAGTTGAATCCGGTCAAATGCTCATTCGGCGTCTCGTCAGGTAAATTCTTAGGCTACATGGTAACTCAGCAAGGGATAGAAGCCAACCCCGACCAGATCAGAGCAATCCTCAGTATACCATCCCCAGCTTGTATAAAAGATGTCCAGCGCCTTGCAGGACGAGTAGCCGCCTTGAGCCATTTCATATCCAGATCCACCGACAAGTGCCACCTTTTCTTTCATGCACTCAAGAAGTTCAACAAGTTCGAGTGGACACCCTCTTCCGAGGAAGCCTTGTAACAGCTAAAAAGGTACCTGACCTCCCCTCTGCTCCTTTCCAAGCCTGTGGATGGGGAGAAACTTTACACCTATCTGGCGGTCTCAAAGACAACAATCTCAGTAGTGTTAGTTCGGAAAGAGGGTGCGAAGCAGCTACTGGTCTACTATGTCAGCAAGTCACTCCTTGACGTAGAAACACGATATAGTCAGCTGGAGAAATTGGCCCTTGCGCTCATCCATGTATCCAGGAAGCTCAGGCCGTACTTTCAGTGCCACTCCATAGTCGTACTCACCTCCTTCCCACTCAAGAAGATACTGCACAAACCAGAGCTATTAGGTCGACTCACACAATAGACAGTGGAGCTTAGTGAGTTCAACATATCATACTAGCCTCGACTGTTGTCAAGTCCCAA